CCTCGCCCCACCCCTCGTCCCTCGCCATGGCCCCCGCTCTGCTCCTGGTGCCTGCTGCCCTCGCCTCTTTCGTCCTGGCCTTTGGCACTGGCGTGGAGTTCGTGCGCTTTACCTCCCTTCGGCCACTTCTTGGAGGCATCCCGGAGTCTGGTGGTCCGGGTGAGCATGAGGGACCGAGGACGAGCTCCGGGTAGGAAGGTGGAGCCAGGGGAGGGGGGCGGGGCGGGGCTCCGAGACAAATGACTGGGAAGTCCAGGAGAGGGAACTCGAACCTTGAAAGCCGCGGAGGAGCTGCAGGGGAGGGAGACCTGAGGGCTATATTAGGAACTCTAGGATTAGCGGTTTGGAGAGGCGGGAGAGTGGGGACTGAGGGGGAGGGAAGGAACGATAGCCTGAGGATTCTAGGGATAGTGTTTTGTAGAGAGGACTGCTGAGAGTGTTAAAAAGAGGGAGCATTTGGAGAACCAAAACAAGGGAGGTAGTCCAGCAGCTGCCTCTCCAGTCATGCATTTGTAGTCTCAAGGTGCATTTTTCCATAAATCCTCTTCCTCAGGTCTGAGAAGGCCTAGGAAGAAGGAGGGAACAAGAAATGGAAAAGCGAGATGGGCACAGCCTAGAGAGGAAGCATCAAGGCTCTTGGAAGCATTAAGGGACATGACTTGGGGCCCCAAAAGGAGGTGAGGGCAGGGGGAAATGTTCTGCCACCTGATCTTTTGTCGCTTTCTCCCTTGACTCCCCCCAGATGTCCGCCAGGGATGGCTGGTTGCCCTGCAGGACCGCAACATCCTCATCTCCCTGGCTTGGGATCTGGGGCTCCTGCTATTATTTGTTGGGCAGCACAGCCTCATGGCAACTGAGACAGTGAAGGCGTGGACATCCCAGTACTTTGGGGTCCTTCACAGGTCACTGTATGTGGCATGTACTGCCCTGGCCTTGCAGGTATGAGGCCCTGGCTGCTGAGTCCCCAAGAGAGAAAGAGTGTGAGAGGGATGCCCTCGAGTGGAGAGGCAACATGTGGGGTTAGGAGAACTGAGAGTGGTTCAGGACTTTAATTTCAGCTTCCATTCCTCCACAACACATAGCCTTCTCTTTATCAAGATGGGTGTTCTTGCCATTCCCCAAGCACAATATGTGCATTCTCACCTTCGCAACTCTGTTCATGTTGGAGATCCCCTCAAGTCTCTCCAGTTCTACCCTTTCTTCACAAGCACTGCCCAGGTCTCAAGATAAGACTTTCCAGTTAGTACTTATCTGTCTTCTCACTGGGTGCTTAGCATAGGCTACTTCGTACCTCTTAGGTCACCCCCACCTGTACTGCAAGTCCTCAGGGTAGAGATAGGTCATCCTTACATCTTTGGGCCCTCACCCGCACCATCCACATGATACATATTTGTTGGTGATACTTAGGAGAGAGCAGGGCAAAGGGGTGGGGGAAGGGAAGGAGCTGCAGGTTAGTAGGGGATGGGGAACAGCCTCTGGGTCTAGATCTCCCAAGGGTAGACAGTGTAGGCTGCCAGGATAAGCAGCCCCTTCCTTCCTCAGCTGGTGATGCGGTACTGGGAGCCCATACCCAGAGGCCCGGTGTTGTGGGAGGCTCGGACTGAGCCATGGGCCACCTGGGTGCCCCTCCTCTGCTTTGTACTCCACGTCATTTCCTGGCTTCTCATCTTCAGCATCCTTCTCGTCTTTGACTACGCTGAGCTCATGGGCCTCAAACAGGTGAGGCTCCCACACCCCTGCCTGAGACCTCTGGCCCTTTCTAGAACTCCTCTTTCCCTTCCAAGGATTTCTCTCCTCCTCCTTCTGTGGTCTTCTGTCTTCCCTTGCTTTCTACTCCTCACCTTTTATTTATTTATTTATTTTTTGAGTTGGAGTCTCACTGTCACCTAGACTGGAGTGCAGTGGCATGCTCCCCGGCCACTGCAGCCTCGACCTGCTGGGCTCTGGCGATCCTTCCTCCTCAGCCTTCCAAGTAGCTGGAACTACAGGCACGTGCTGCCATGCCTGGCTAATTTTTTTTATTTATTGTAGAGATGAGGTCTTGCCAAGTTGCACGGGCGGGTCTCGAGCCCGTGGGCTCAGGCAAACCACTCACCTTAGCCTCCCAAAGCACAGGATTACAAGCTGAGCCACCGAGCCTGGCTCATTTTTTATTTTTTATTTTTTGAGTTGGAGTCTCACTCTTTGCCTAGGCTGGAGTGCAGTGCCACACTGCTCACGGCCACCGCAGCCTTGACCTGCTGGGCTCAGGCGATCCTTCTACCTCATCCTTTCAAGTAGCTGGAACTACAGGCACGTGCCATCATGCCCAACTAATTTTATTTTTTTGAGTTGGAGTCTCACTCTGTCGCCCAGACTGGAGTGCAGTGGCACACTGCTCACGGCCACCGCAGCCTTGACCTGCTGGGCTCAGGCGATCCTTCTACCTCATCCTTTCAAGTAGCTGGAACTACAGGCACGTGCCATCATGCCCAACTAATTTTATTTTTTTGAGTTGGAGTCTCACTCTGTCGCCCAGACTGGAGTGCAGTGGCACACTGCTCACGGCCACCGCAGCCTTGACCTGCTGGGCTCAGGCGATCCTTCTACCTCATCCTTTCAAGTAGCTGGAACTACAGGCACGTGCCATCATGCCCAACTAATTTTATTTTTTTGAGTTGGAGTCTCACTCTGTCGCCCAGACTGGAGTGCAGTGGCACACTGCTCACGGCCACCGCAGCCTTGACCTGCTGGGCTCAGGCGATCCTTCTACCTCATCCTTTCAAGTAGCTGGAACTACAGGCACGTGCCATCATGCCCAACTAATTTTATTTTTTTGAGTTGGAGTCTCACTCTGTCGCCCAGACTGGAGTGCAGTGGCACACTGCTCACGGCCACCGCAGCCTTGACCTGCTGGGCTCAGGCGATCCTTCTACCTCATCCTTTCAAGTAGCTGGAACTACAGGCACGTGCCATCATGCCCAACTAATTTTATTTTTTTGAGTTGGAGTCTCACTCTGTCGCCCAGACTGGAGTGCAGTGGCACACTGCTCACGGCCACCGCAGCCTTGACCTGCTGGGCTCAGGCGATCCTTCTACCTCATCCTTTCAAGTAGCTGGAACTACAGGCACGTGCCATCATGCCCAACTAATTTTATTTTTTTGAGTTGGAGTCTCACTCTGTCGCCCAGACTGGAGTGCAGTGGCACACTGCTCACGGCCACCGCAGCCTTGACCTGCTGGGCTCAGGCGATCCTTCTACCTCATCCTTTCAAGTAGCTGGAACTACAGGCACGTGCCATCATGCCCAACTAATTTTATTTTTTTGAGTTGGAGTCTCACTCTGTCGCCCAGACTGGAGTGCAGTGGCACACTGCTCACGGCCACCGCAGCCTTGACCTGCTGGGCTCAGGCGATCCTTCTACCTCATCCTTTCAAGTAGCTGGAACTACAGGCACGTGCCATCATGCCCAACTAATTTTATTTTTTTGAGTTGGAGTCTCACTCTGTCGCCCAGACTGGAGTGCAGTGGCCGCTCCCGGCCACCGCAGCCTCGACCTGCTTGGCTCCGGCGATCCTTCCTCCTCAGCCTTCCAAGTAGCCAGAATTACAGGTATGCACTACCACGCCCGGCTGATTTTTTGATTTATTGTAGAGATGAGGTCTCGCTGCCCAGGCGGGTCTCGAACCCGCGGGCTCAGGCAATCCACTCACCTCAGCCTCCCAAAGGTGCGGGATTAGAGGCTGAGCCACTGAGCCCGGCTACCCAGCTAATTTTTTGAGGTTTCGCCAAGTTGCCCGGGCTGGTCTCGAACCCATGGGCTTGGGCAGTCTTCTCACCTCAGCCTCCTAAAGTGCTGGGATTATAGGCATGAGCCACCGCACCTGGTCTCACCTCCCTCTTTTGTGAGATAGTCTCCCTTCAACCTTCCCTCAAAGGTCAAAACCAGGGGCCTCCTGGGCCTGGGGAAGGTACATGGGCCAGAGATCAAGGTTGGGAGCCCAAATCTCAGAAGGAGGGTTCCCGGATCTGAGTTCTAGGAGAGTGCTGCCTGGAAGAGAAGGAAAGAGGTGGCTTGGGGAAAGGACTCGACTTCCATTCTAAGCTGTTCTCCCTCTCCTAGGTGTACTATCATGTGCTGGGGCTGGGCGAGCCCCTGGCCCTGAAGTCGCCCCGGGCTCTGAGACTCTTCTCCCATCTGCGGCACCCAGTGTGTGTGGAGCTGCTGACAGTGCTGTGGGTGGTGCCCACCCTGGGCACTGACCGCCTCCTCCTTGCTCTCCTTCTTACCCTCTACCTGGGCTTGGCTCACGGGCTTGACCAGCAAGACCTCTGCTATCTCCAGGCCCAGCTTCAAAGAAAACTCCACATGCTCTCCCGGCCCCAGGATGGGGAGTGAGGGTCTGACCTACTCAAGCCCCGTACTTCCTCTCCCCCTTGAATTCTAAATACCTTAACACCCAGCTCCTGGCTGCTTCCGGCCAGAGGCCCAAATCCATGGACTGAAGGAGTCACCCCTTCCACTACTTGAGACTTCATTCCCTGGGTCCAGCTCTACATCTTAAATTCTGAGTTGCAGCAGCTGGACTCCAAGGTCCACCTCTCACCTGCCAGGAAGCAGGTGTGGAACTCATCTGTCCCCTCACAATTTGGGGCAGAACAACCTCCCACCCTCAACAGCTTCCTCTTAAGGAAGGGGTCCGTCCTGACCACTCCCCTGGGACTGTTACTCTGTGCTTCAGGGATCCCGTTCTCCAACTCTGGCTTCCCGCCAAGAAGCTGGACCAGGCTCTAGAAGTTTGATGGCAGTAGCCGCCTCCCCAGGCCCCACCCCTCGCCTCTCCACTCCCTGCCCTAGTCTCTCCATCTTCTTAGGCTCCGCCCTGGGCTCGATCCCCCTAGTGGAAGGATAGTCCCACTCTTATCTCGGTGCCTTAGGGCTCCCTGCTCTCCCGTGGAACACATGCTGTAGGAAAATAAAATTCAACCTGGTTTTTCTACATATGGCATGCAGTCTGTCAGTGTCTCTCCAGCGGGAGGGCTGAGTCCCGGAAGGAAAGCCAGCCGGAGCCTGGGAGCGCCAAACTCGAGTCTGGGCAGCCACCACGCCCTCTGGCGACCGCTGGGCTTCGGCCGCTCCCCGCAGACCAGACCCCACCTTGCCGGAGCGGCCCAGCCCCCCTCCTTCAAGTCCCCCCTCCTTCAAATCCCCCCGTTTTCCTGCAGCAGACCAGGAGGCACACGGGAGACAGGTTGAAGCTACGAAGAGTAAGGGCAGCAGCTCTGGAGGGGTGCGAGCTTCCAAAGCCGTCGGCTTCCGAGCGCCTCTCCTGCCGCTCTCTCCCCAAAGCCCCCCACAGCCTGGCGGCTGCCCTCGACCCCACAGTAACAAAGGCTGACCGGGGAAGGCAAAAGCGTGGGGAGGAGCGGCGGGAGATGGGAAGGGCGGGCCGGGCTCCGAGCAGCTGCCGCTTCCTCCCAAAGTCCCACGAGGGGTCTGAGTCACGGGCCGCCGCCCTGGGTCGGCAAGCTGGGGGAAGGGGTCTGGACACCTGGGTTCTTCAGGGCTCCCGGGAGGGAAGAGGACGAGGGCCCCGGAGGACAGAGCGGAGGGCTAGGGGTTAGGGCGAGAAGAGGGCAGCCCCG